TAAGTCCATAAATGCTGCCGGAGCATTGGTCACTCCAAATGGCATAACAAGAAACTCAAAATGTCCATACCTTGTTCTGAATGCAGTTTTCTCAACATCCTCTGCCTTAACTTTCAGCTGATCATACCCGGATCTCAAATCAATCGTGGAAAACACTTTGTGATCCCTAAAACTGGTCAAATAAGTCATCAATACGAGGTAGGGGATATTTGTTACCATACAAAGCCTCGTATGGTGCCATACCGATGCTGGAGTGGAAGCTAATATTGTAAGCAAATTCTGCAAGTGGCAAATAATCTTCCCAACTCCCCTGAAAATCCAAAGCACACATCGGAAGCATATCGTCCAAATTCTTTATTGTTCGTTCTGATTGCCCATCGGTCTGTGGGTGGAATGCAGTACTGAATCTTAGTTCTATCCCCATAGCTTCCAGCAAACTCTTCCACAATCTTGATACAAATTTTGGATCTCTATCCGACACAATAGATACCGAAACTCCAAACAAATAACTTATCCAATCTCCATAACACCCATCCTTTGAACATCTTTGAGTTAGTAACTTTTTAAATATCCAATCAATTTATATGCACAATACCACCATCAATTTACTACAAAAGTCAAAAATCAACATTTTTGTATAAACTCAACAACTTAAGTAAAATCTCTTCAATCACTTATAAAATTCCTCCATAGAACATAGAGATACCCAATCCACCATTTATCAAATCAATTTCAACATATAAATTCCCTAACACCAAAATCCCCAATTTTTACATCACATTCAAACCCTAGATTAACCCAAAATCTTAATCTCCAAATCAACCGTCAAATTGTCCAATTTTTTTTTAAACATCTAAAACATTCATGGAAACTAATTGAGAGTATAAAATTCAACAATCAACCCCCAAATCATAATAGATCTAAAACACAAAAATTTCATCATCTCTAACTCAAAATATGTAAAACCTTAAACTAAACTTTTAGAGAAAATTTTTTACCAATTACAAGCCTCTAATCCATCAAGAAAATAAACCCCATGCTTTGATTCTTCAAAAGATTAAGAAAAATCTAGAGTTGGTGCTTCTATTGTGTTATTTTCGGATGGATTTAAGGAGTGGCCGACCGGACCCTTTTTTTGGCGAGATAAGGTGGCCGGAGGTGGTGGAGATGGTGGGTTAAGGTGGTGGTGTAAGGGTGGAGCAAAGGTATGGTGTTTGGCCTCCAAGAAAGTAAAAAATGAGAGAGAATGTAGAGAGAAGTTGGAGAGGGAAGAATGAAGACACGAAGTAAACAAAAAAAAAATAAAATCTGCACTTCACTTTTTTTTTTTTTGTTGAAATGGGGTGTTTGGTCACACCTACTATCAAGTTTGGGGTTGGGTTTAGATATCCTAAATGGAGTTTAACATAAGAGTGTGTTTGGCTCTAGATGAAAAGTTGGGAATATTATAATTCTACCCCCCTAAAGGAAAATTTCGTCTACGAAATTTATTCGTTTGTTTAGTCTAGTTCATACCTTGAAAAAGACGTGGATATCGAATTTTCATATCATCCTCCCGCTCCCAAGTAGCTTCCTCCAAAGCATGATTTTTCCACAATACCTTTACTAGTGGTATGGTCCTGGAACGTAATACTTGATCCTTCATGTCCACAATCTCTATGGCTTCCTCTTCATAAGACAAATCGTCCTTGAGTTGGATTAGTTGGAAGTCTAACACGTGTGATGGGTCAGGCATGTACTTCTTCAACGTGGATACATGAAACACATTGTGAATGCGAGATAGACTAGGTGGTAAGGCCAAACGATAAGCAGTCTTGCCAATGCGCTCTAGTATCTCAAATGGCCTAATATACCTTGGACTTAGTTTGCCTTTCTTACCAAATCGCATCACTCCCTTCCATGGCGAGATTCGTAAAAATACATGATCTCCCACTTGAAATTCCAAATCCCTCCTCCGATTATCTGCATAGCTCTTTTGTCTACTTTGAGCCGCCTTCAACCTTTCTCGAATAATATGCACTTTATTGGTAGAAATTTGAAGAATCTCTGGCCCTAACAATTTTCTCTCTCCAACCTCATCCCAACATACTGGAGTTCTACATCTTCGCCCATATAAAGCTTTATAGGGAGCCATCCCAATACTTGATCGATAACTATTATTATATGCAAATTCTATTAAGGTCAAGTGTTCATCCCAACTACCTCGAAAATCTAGGACACAAGCTCTCAACGTGTCTTCTAAAGTTTGAATTGTCCTCTCGGATTGCCCGTCAGTTTAGGGGTGAAAAGCTATACTGAATCTCAATTTAGTACCCAAGGCATTTTGAAGACTAGGCCAAAAGTGGGATGTGAAGCGCGAGTCTCTATTTGAAACAATAGATACTGGCACACCATGCAATCTCACAATTTCATCCACATAAATTTTTGCTAATCGATCAAGTGAAAAGTTTTTCTTAGTAGCTAAAAAGTGTGCAGATTTGGTCAACCTATCTACAACAACCCAAATAGAGTCATGCCCCTTCTGTGTGCGAGGCAGGCCCGAAACAAAATCCATGGCAATATGCTCCCATTTCCATTCAGGTATAGGAAGAGGTTGAAGTAAACCAGCTGGGCGTTGATGCTCTGTTTTAATCTGCTGACATACCAAACACCTTGACACAAATTCTGCTATCTCTCTCTTCATATTTGGCCACCAATAACTTTCTCTTAAATTTTGATACATCTTTGTACTCCCCGGATGTATTGCATAAGGTGAATTATGGGCCTCATCTAATATCTCCCTTTTTTATCTCGGGCTCATTTGGAACACATAACCGATTTTTAAACATCAACACACCATCTTCTTTAATAATAAAGTCTGACAGAGTACCATCTTTCACTTGAGCTCGGGTCTTCTCCAAAATTGAGTCTTTCCCTTGGGCTTCTCAAATGCGATCCACTAACAAAGGTCTCACTTTAATTATAGCTAACAAGGATCCCGACTTCCCAACTGCTAGATCAACTCCAATAGATTTTATTTCATGTAAGAGACTAAATTGAATGCCCTGAATGTGAGTTAATTTCCCTGTAGATTTTCGGCTAAGAGCATTGGCCACCAAATTAGCTTTTCATGGGTGATAATTAATGGTGCAGTCATAGTCCTTAATCAGTTCAACCCATCTCCTTTGCCTCAAATTTAAATCTCTCAGTGTGAATAAATATTTCAAACTCTTATGATCAGTATATATCTCACATTTTTCCCCGTATAAATAATGTCTCCACAACTTTAAAGCAAAAACAACCGCTGCGAGCTCTAAATCATGGGTGGGATAATTGCGTTCATGGTTCTTCAATTGTCTAGATGCATAGGCCACTACCTTTCCATGTTGCATCAACACACAACCGAGCCCTTGATGAGAGGCATCACTATAAACAATAAATCCTTCACCACTTAACGGAATAGTAAGCACTGGGGCAGAAGTTAATCGCTTCTTTAATTCTTGAAAACTCTTTTCACAATTCTCCGTCCACTCAAATTTGGTATTCTTACGGGTCAAATGTGTTAATGGTGCCGCAATCAATGAAAACCCCTCTACAAATCTACGGTAGTAGCCTGCCAACCCTAAAAAGCTCCTCACCTCGGTCACGTTAGTAGGACGATCCCAATTCACCACAGCCTCTATTTTCTTCGGATCCACAAAAATACCTTCACCCGAAATCACATGCCCCAAAAATACGACACGATCTAACCAAAACTCACATTTGCTAAACTTCGCATACAACTTCTTTTCTCGTAAAGTCTGCAATACCACCCGCAAGTGTTGTTGATGATCCTCTTGACTCCTGGAATAAACAAGTATGTCATCAATAAATACAATCACAAATTGGTCAAGGTATGGTTGGAACACTCTATTCATAAGGTCCATAAATGCGGCGGGGGCATTAGTTAGACCAAAAGGCATAACAAGAAATTCATAATGGCCGTAGCGAGTTCGAAAAGCAGTTTTCGGTATGTCTTCTTCCTTAATCTTAAGTTGGTGATACCCTGATCTGCGATCGATTTTGGAGAACACACATGCTCCCTGAAGTTGATCAAACAAATCATCTATACGAGGCAAAGGATACTTGTTACGCACCGTGACCTTATTCAACTACCAATAGTCAATGCACAATCTCTTGGTGCCATCTTTTTTCTTCACAGATAATACAGGTGATCCCCAAGGCGAGACACTTGGCCTAATGAAGCCTTTATCCAATAACTCTTGCAATTGTATCTTAAGCTCCTTAAGTTCCATTGGCGCCATACGGTAAGGTGCACTAGAAATTGGGGCAGTTCCAGGAATTAAGTCAATAGCAAACTCAATTTCTCGATCTGGGGGTAATCCAGGTAGTTCATCAGGAAAAACATCTATGAAGTCACACACAATTGGTATATCCTCCAATCTTGGACCACTAAATTTGGAGTCAATCAAATAGGCTAAGGCCCCGTTTGGGGACTTACCTTTTTAGCCAAAAAGTCAAAAAGTTATCATTTTAGCCAAAAAGCCAACAACTCATACCAAAAAATCAAAGATTCTCTTTTCTCTCTACTTTTTGTACATCTTTTCGTAATTAGCTAAAAAGTCATCCCAAACATATAAGTTTTTTTTACCTACTTTTCTAGTCAAATAGCCAAAAAATTACTAAATTGGCTTGTTCCCAAACGAGGCCTAAGTATCCTTGGCACCCCTTCTTAAGCATTTTTCTAGCGGTAATAGCAGAAATAACATAAGATGGGGACGCACATCGATCTCCACAAAATCTAAATTCAGGTTCCCCAAAATTGGAAAATACTACCTCTTTCCTATAACAATCCACCGAAGCATGGTAAGAAGCCAACCAATCCATTCCCAAAATCAAATCAAAATCAAGCATCTCTAAAGGCAATAAATCCGCTACCATCTCCCTATCTCCCAACTGTAGTACACAATCTCGATATACCTCCTCAATTATAACACAATCCTCAATAGGAGTAGTAATGGATAAGCAATAGCCTAGAGGTTCAATAGGTTTATTAGCATGCAAAGAAAATGATAGAGATACAAAAGAATGTGTAGAACCCGGATCAATAAGTACATGTGCCTCCCTACTGAACACATAAATAATACCTGTTACCACCTCTGGATTAGCCTGAGCATCCTGCTGAGTCAAAGCAAAAACTCTCCCCTGCGAGGTTTGTCTATCGGATTGAACACCTCCTTTATTCTGCTTGCCAAACCTAGTCCCAACCTGACCTTCTCCTCGGCTTCCCCCTTGGCCGGCACCTGAAATTTTATTACTACCAACTCCAGTACTAGCAGATGAAGCAGTTCGTGTGCAATCCCTAGCCAAATGTCCGGGTTGTCTGCAATTGAAGCAAGCTCGTGTATCTCCCAAATTAGTCATTTTAGGAACTGTGCAATCTTTCAACAAATGACCCTTCTGGCCACAACGAAAACACAAGTCGGTACCAGCATGACAAACACCTGTATGTGCCCGCCTACATTACTTGCAAACAGTTCGAGTGAACTGAGATGATGTCCCACTAGACTGTCCATGACGCTGATTAGAAATGCTTTGGGTTGGGGTGGGATGCTATCTATTTTTTTGATATGCACTAGAGCTCTTGACTGAACCATAACCATGACCACCTCTCTTTGACGGTCTATTAGATGTGTTCTCATGATGGGATGAACTAAGGTGGCGCTTTTTCTGTTGTTCCGCTAACTTCATTTCTATGACATCTTTCTCAACTGTTAAGGCTTTATCAACCAAGGTCGAATAGTTAGTTATTCCCAATACTCGGATACGAGATTTGATGTCCAAATCCAACCCATCTGTAAAACGACGACATTTGACCTCCTCATCATCCACAAACGAAGGGGCAAAACGAGATAAAGAAATGAACTTAGCTTCATATTGAGCTACAGTCAAATCCCCTTGCTCTAGCCGAAGGAACTCTCTTTCTTTTTCATACCGATAGGTAGCTGGAAAGTACTTGTCATTGAAAACCTTAGTGAATTGGTTCCAGGTCAATCCTCCGGTGCCACTTGCCGTAAGTAGGCGTTGCGTGGCCTCCCACCAATATTCAGCCTCCTCCACTAGCATAAAACTAGCAAGTGCAACTCGCTGCTCGTCTGATACTTCCATCACAGAAAATATCTGCTCTACCCTCCTTAACCAGGCCTCTGCCTCCATAGGATTGGGCGATCCAGAAAATGATGGAGCCCCCAACTTCTTGAACCTCTCAATTGCGGTGAGGCGGTTCTCTGTAGGTTGCACAAATGGCCTAGACTGTGCTGCATTCTGTTGTTCAAGGATGTGAGTTTGCCTCTGCACTAGGCTAGCCATTGACTCTAAAAGGCGCTGCACACTAGGGTCTAAAAATGCTGGAGCTGCGTCAGCCCTTGGTGGTACAATTCTATTTGAATGTCCCACTTCTGGATTGGCACTTGACTCTTGAGTTTGCTCATTATGCGATTCATGTTCAATCTCTTTTTCCTGAACCTGAGGTGGAACTTCATTTCCAACACTAAGATGTGGCTCTCGCTCAGCCTCAAGTACTTCCATAAGGGGGTGACTCTTATGAACTTTTCTCCTTGCCATACGCGCCTGTATAACAAGACAATTAAAACTTAGAATACTAGATCACTATTAAACATCATCACTAATCGAATTACTAACTACAATACCCTATCAACTTTAATTCTAAAGTAACTAGTCTACAGATTCATAACCTAATGCTCTGATACCAAAAATGTAACGACCCAATCTTGGCAAGGCAAAACCCTGCCAAGAGGGTGCACCTCAAACGCTATAGCATCTTTACACCACAATCCCTGTATAATTCATACATCACATCACCACATCACCAAAAGTGCATATGACCTTTCAATTGCCTAACATATATGAGATGATCTATTAAAAGATAAAAAAAAAATTATCATGCTACAAGATAGTTCCCAAGCATTTCCTCAAAAAAAAAAATATAATACATACTAATCACGAATCCATCAATACATCCAACTTCATAAGCAATATTTACAATCAACCTCCTTCATAAAAAAAAGGGTAAGCTTACATCCTAGAATGACCCTAAGCAAAACCTCAACCACAAGATGCCCACCTGTGATCCTTCAAAAATTCTAGTCTTCCAAGTTGAGGCGAGCCACACAAAAGTCTATGAATCTGAAAAAAAATTATTTAAAAGAATGAGCTAAAGCCCAATGAGTATACCAATACCATGGAGTTATAAAACTTGCTCCTACCAATAGGGTTCAAAATAAAGATACTAAACATAAGAGCTTAATTGGACTTCAATTTATACAAAATAAAAATAAAATGATGCAATACAATTTTCATAAAACGTTATCAAGATTTTTTTCCAAGGAATCTCATAAGGCAGAAAAAAATCATACATTTGGATAATGAAAGTAAACAAAAATATAACTTTTCAATACATTAAGATTTCATGTCCATCATACAATCCACTACATAGCCTTAGGGTCGCGTTACCTCGCGACTTAGGTGGTGACGGTACCGTTACCCAGAACATAACCATAGGAGCATAGCTCATGTCATCGTAGCACTTCAATTCTTGTTTCAATGTTTCGGTCCCCAGGACCCCTTATACATACAACGACCCTTATGGTCCTTAAAACATTTCGGTCCCCAGGACCCCAAAGCATTTTGGCCCTTGTGGCCCCAAAGGCTATATTCGGTTATATGATCAATAAAATAAATACCCTCACATAACATTTCACTGTCATTCAATCATCATCATCATAAAATTTGAAAGACTCAACTTAAATAAATTCTCATAAAAAATTTAATGCTTCATTATACAAATGAAATTATATCTTTATTAAAACTCAACCCTTGGCCTCAATAAATTTATAGATTTTCTTTTTATACATATATCATGATGAAATGTATCATTCACTTCCTTTAATTCAAAAATTATTTTCAAACTTTGTAATAAAGATAGAGGTAAGGTAATTTCCATGGTAAGTATACTCACCTCCAAAAATAGCAAAAGTGTAGATTTGAAACTCTACAAATTAATTTCCAAGAGGTATAGAGATGCCTTCCTCCAATCCTAACAATTAGTAAATAGGATCTCAAATTAGGAAAAACTTTCAATAAAAATTACAACATCTACAAAAATGATCCTAAATACAATTATGCTAAGGAATGGCAAGCTAAAGAACTCCTCCAACTTTAAGTCACCCAAACAAATAACTTATCCAATCTTCATAACACCCATCCTTTGAACATCTTTGAGTTAGTAACTTTTTAAATATCCAATCAATTTATATGCACAATACCACCATCAATTTACTACAAAAGTCAAAAATCAACATTTTTGTATAAACTCAACAACTTAAGTAAAATCTCTTCAATCACTTATAAAATTCGTCCATAGAACATAGAGATACCCAATCCACCATTTATCAAATCAATTTCAACATATAAATTCCCTAACACCAAAATTCCCAATTTTTACATCACATTCAATCCCTAGATTAACCCAAAATCTTAATCTCCAAATCAACCATCAAATTGACCATTTTTTTTTAAACATCTAAAACATTCATGGAAACTAATTGAGAGTATAAAATTCAACAATCAAACCCCAAATCATAATAGATCTAAAACACAAAAATTTCATCATCTCTAACTCAAAATATGTAAAACCTTAAACTAAACTTTTAGAGAAAAATTCTTACCAATCACAAGCCTCTAATCCATCAAGAAAATAAACCCCATGCTTTGATTCTTCAAAAGATTAAGAAAAATCTAGAGTTGGTGCTTCTATTTTGTTATTTTCGGATGGATTTAAGGAGTGGCCTACTGGACGCTTTTTCCGGCGAGATAAGGTGGCCGGAGGTGGTGGAGATGGTGGGTTAAGGTGGTGGTGTAAGGGTGGAGCAAAGGTGTGGTGTTTGGCCTCCAAGAAAGTAAAGGAAAATGAGAGAGAAAGTAGAGAGAAGTTAGAGAATGAAGAATGAAGACAATGAAGAAAAAAAAATCTGCACTTCTATTTTTTATTTTTTGTGTTGAAATGGGGTGTTTGGTCACACCTACCATCAAGTTTGGAGTGGGGTTTCGATATCCTAAATGGAGTTTAACATAAGAGTGTGTTTGGCTCTAGATGAAAAGTTGGGAATATTATAACAATATCTTTGACAGAGAAGGGGAAGTCCTTGAGAGAGGCTTTGAGCTAAAAAGCTAATCTAACCTTGATGAGTTCACACAGGTCAGCCGAGTTTGGATGGACATTAGAGAAAACACACTCATTCATATGCTTCCAAAGAGACCAGAGGACAACTAGGGGAATGGATCTCCAAAATTTTCTAAGCAAACACTTAAAATTCACCCCCATCTACTAATTGAGCAGACCTGCCACAGATACTAGAATGCACCATTGAAGACCCCAATCATGAAGCACGAGGACCAAATGGCCCAAAAAATGTATATATGGCACAGAGGACCGGATATTGCTAAAAAATGTATATATGGTATGCATCTTATACAAAAAGTATAACTTTTATCATAAAATATATAAGTTTTACTACAAAATACATAAGCTTTTTCTTATCACAAAAAATATATATAACTTCATCGTTCATAATGTTCCTCACAAAAATTTGTAACCTCTACCACAAAAATGATTACTTTTATTATGATGTGCATCTTTTTGGAGGTACACAATGCAACATTTCCCATATAGTAATCTATATGCTCACATAGAAAATACGAGTAAGGTGTTACAATGGTTTTTTTCTTTCTTTTCCTTTATTCTTATATATATATATATATATAGGCATTGAACTGAAATTATCATTGCTGTGATTTGCAGACCCCAATTCCATCACAAATGAGTATTTGGATACGATTGTAGATTGGATACCTGGTATGCAAGGTATACGCTTAAAGGATATCCCAAACTTTATTTATTGCGTTAGTCTTGGTGACTTTATAATTAAATTTATGTCGGAGATAACTGAGACAGCTCTCAAATCTTCTGCAATTATTTTGAATACATTTGATGAACTGGAGCATCAAGTTTTGTACTCACTTTCATCCATGTTTCCCCCAATTTACACAATCGGACCTTTACACTTACTCTTGAACCAAATCAAGGACGATAGTTTGAAGTCAATAGGATCAAATTTGTGGAAAGAAATAACTGAGTGCCTAGAATGGCTCAACTCTAAAGAACCTAACTCTGTTCTTTATGTGAATTATGGAAGCTTAACTATAATGACACAAAATCAACTGGTTGAGTTTGCTTGGGGACTTGCTAATAGCAACCAGACCTTTTTATGGATAATAAGACCTGATCTTGTCACCGGCGACTTAACTGTTATTCCACCAGAATTCATTACAGAGACCAAAGAAAGAAGCTTACTTATAAGTTGGTGCCCACAAGAGCAAGTTCTCTCCCACCCATCCATCGGAGGGTTTTTAACTCATTGTGGGTGGAACTCCACTATTGAAAGCATTTCCAGTGGAGTGCCAATGATATGTTGGCCAAGTTTCGGAGATCAACAAATCAATTGTTGGTATAGCTGCACTCAGTGGGGGACTGGGATAGAGATAAACAATGATGTTAAGAGAGATGAAGTTGAGAGGGTTGTGAGAGAGTTGATGGTTGGAGGCAAAGGTAAGGAGATGAAGAAAAGAACCATGGAGTGGAGGAAAATGGCTAAAGAGGCAATAGTGAGTTCATCAGCTTCATCTTTCTCAAATCTAGAGAAAATGATTAAGCAATTAGTTCCTATCAAACGTTAGGGTAATTAAAGTAACTACTTTACAAATATTATCTTCTATTGTATTTCAATATATTGTTTCGTTATGGGATGTGTAGTTTATGTATATTGTTGGTTATTGATATTGTAATTTAAAAAAAAATTTACTACATGTCATGGTTTAGCTCATCTGGATCATGTATGACAGAACAACATGGAATTATATGTTGACAATTTTTTTTGTCTTCCAATATCTTTTTTTCTAATATATTTTTAATCATACAATTATGTATGAGTAAAAAGATGGCGATGAACATTTTTTGTCTGGAGATTTTTTGGTTTTATTTTTTATTTTTTGATTCACAAGTAGAAGATATTATTTATAAATATGAAGATAATTGTATTAAATTGTACAATTAACTATATAAGAAAATCTAAGAACATATACAAACCCAACACCAACTACCAACACAAGAAATAGCCTTATATTAGAAAAAATAAATAATTAAACAACCCTATAATAGAAAATAAATAATCCATCTGTCGTGATAGTGATGGATTAACCTGTGACCTTTCAATTGAAATTGTCCAACTAGGAGACAGTGAGTTAGCCCTCCTTTTGGTTCAATTTCAATATATCAATCATGTAAATTTTAGGCGTGAATCATTATTCTAACTATGCCTATAGTTTTGTAAAAAGTTTGCCTCTCTCTCTCTAAAAAAAAAACCTCTCTTTTTTCTCTCTTTAAACCTCCTTCTCCGGCCTCTTTTTGGGCTGGCCGGCCGCCGCCTTTGGCTATGGCGGTCGGCTGGCCTCGCTTGTTTCAGCGGTAGCCTTGTTAGCTCTCTTTCTTTCAATAAACTTGAGTCCCCCATTCTTCCCACCTAGGTGTGTTGCTGCGGGTGAGTTTTTGCTTTAGGAGCTGCTTCGGTTGGTCATCAGTTTGTCCTCTTGTGTTTCAACATTGCCGTAATAGCCGATTCTTCAAGGGCAGCCAGGGATTTCATTCGAGCGCTTTTGGCGAGTAGGAGTTTGAGGGGTGCGTTTTTGGGCGGAAACAAGGGTATTGTAGGTGATACAGTTCTGTTCGGTTGGCACTCGTGCGCTCCTCCTTGAGGGAGAGTTTGAGGGGTGAAGTTGGGTGTTGTTTTTGTGGAGTTTGGCAGTGGGTGTTGGTCTGTGGAGTTTGGCAGCAGAGGCAAAGGTGTGGGTTTTGGGTGTGAGCGAGAAGAAGGCCTGGGGGGGGTGGGTTTCGGCAGTGGGTGTTCCCGGGCAGTGGGTGTTGCAGCAGGGGTGTTTTTCTGTCGGCAGTGGGTGTATCCGGCAGTGACTGGTGTTCCCGGCAGTGGGTGTTGCAGCAGGGGTGTTTTCTGTCGGTGTATTCGGCAGTGGATGGTGTTCCCGGCGGTGGCTATGGTGTCTCCTCGGCAGAGGCGTGCCTAGAGGTGGCGTGGACAGCAGCTTCGAGTGGGTGGCTGAAGTGCAGACGTGTTGTTTCTTGCAGCAGAGGCGTGCTGGGTCAGGTCACGCAGCAGAGGCGTGTTGGGAGTTGTAGCTGCAGAGGAGTGGTTTAGTGTTGTTAGCTTTTTTTTGGGTGATGGGTTAGTTCATTTAGTTAGTCATGGGTGTTTTTGGTGAGTTGAGTTGTGGGGATTCTTGTATTTTAAATTATCTAGTTAAGTTCTTCTTAACTTTTTTGGGTAAAAAAAAAAAAATCGAGAGGCTTAGGGGTTGGTTGTATGGATGCGAGTAGCAGTAGTAGGGGTATTTTTATACTTCCGAATCTCTCTCAACCTGTGACCTTTCAATTGAAATTGTCCAACTAGGAGACAGTGAGTTAGCCCTCCTTTTGGTTCAATTTCAATATATCAATCATGTAAATTTTAGGCAATCCGTCCCTTTGAGCCACATCCACGAGTTCAGTTTGAGATTTAACTGATTTACATGGAGAAAGCACTTTTTGTGGGTCTCAAAATTAAACCTTTAAATGTTTAACATGACATTTGATTCAATATCAAGTTTAACCTTCTAATTAAGTTAACATATCTTCAATAGAAATTATGAACTCTCAAAACACATATCCAACATCAAAATACCACACGTAATATAATTTAAATGCACAAATTTCATTTTTGAAATGAGCATCAACTTCACTATCAATTTAAACTTCTGGTTTGCAAATTTTATCCTAACCTGCAGAATGAAAACATAATTCTTAAAAATCATTTTCTTATTCATTTGTTCCAAAGTTTGATCATTCTGAATGATCTAAATCATTTTATCTCATGAAAATAATGTTGGACAATCTTTACTGTATTTGAAAAAAAAAATTATGTTTGTGTACTTAACAACAAACGGAATACAGAAGAAGTAAAGGAAATGAGAGAGTTTGTTTGATTACAAAAATCAAACTAGAAAATAAAATAAAACAGAAAATAAATTAATTGCTTATCAAATTAATTTCACAAATTTTCTGATCAAGTCCATTGTTTAACACTGTATTCTCAAGACAGATTCGTCATTTCCACGGTACTTTCAGAATGTGGACGTCTATCTCACAGGATAAAATGATTAACAGCAAACACTAGCAGCACTACAAATTGTTTGCACAACGAACACACTAACTGTTTACACTATTTCTCACAGAAATTTAATGTAGCAAAATGCAAAGATTTATTACAGAGGAGAAGTACGAAAATTGTGAATGAAAAATCAATAGAAGGTCTGTCTATTTATCGGGAGAAAATGTGATTGTTTGGTTTGAATTAAACAGGTGCAAACCTATTCAATTTGAATGAACAGATATAACACTGCTTGGGTTTGAATTTGAACAGATACTAAAACTGTTCCAGTTTAAATTCAAACAGATAAAAACCGGGCAGAATTTTGGTGGAGGAAAAAGTCGAGTAGAATTTTTGGAATTAATTTCTGAAATTCAAATTCTAAAAAATTAGAATTTAATTTTAGAAAAATAAAATTCAAATGTTTTTGGTCCAAAAAATAATTAGTATTGGGCCAGACAAGCCCAACCCAACAACGCACCCGCACCTAGCCCGTCCAGACGGCGGCGCGCATGTTTATTTTTGTGTCCAATGAGTCTAGCCAATAACCTCCCTCTCTACAAAACTTAGGTGCCTCGTGGGGCCTATCCCAAGTTCCAAACTCAAGCCTTATAAATCCACTCAAAGTATGCCCACCAAATTAATGTGGGACAAGCCTTAAACCAAACATTTAGGAAATTTCATCAAAAACTCCATTTCTATGGAGTTCATTTTGTCTTTAATTTCTCATTCACCCGATAATGGTTTTGAGCAACAAAATATACCACGTGAATCACAACGTGGCATAGAACGCGTTACTACTTAGATCCGTCAAATTTGGCGCATAGGTCCTACCTAAAAAATAGACCAAAATTAAGAAAAAATCAGATTTTTTCAAAACTTCAAAATCATTTCTAACAAATAAACCTTTGAATTGTTTGGAAATTGTTTGATATCTGCAAAGAATTTAAGAATATACAAAGCAATTAATACAAACATCTCTTTGTTGTGCAATTCATAACAGCGCAAAAGATATACAATTACAATGTTTTTTAATGGGATACAATTACTAGTTTGAGAAAGGAGTTGCTAAATATAAAGGACAAGAATCATTTGTTAGTTACTCCGTAGAGTTTTAGACGGAGATTTGTCAATTATATTAACTTTTTTGCCAGAATATAAATTATAACCTCATTGCTAGAACATAAATTAGTTGCATTTTTGTTTCCTGAACACATTTTTATTTTATATAGGTAACAATTTATTAACAGTGTGTCAGAAATTGCATGAGTAAAAATAAAATTGTATCATACTTGTCAAAAAAACAAAACGGCAACTTACGATGATAGTTTCTGTACTTTGATCGTTGTGTCATTTTGGTCCCTATACTTTTAATTAGTTCAATTTTGTCCTGAAATTTATAATTTTGTCTCAATTGATTACAATTTTTTTAAAAAAAAAAAAAAAAATTATAACTAGGTGACTAGGCCCAATTTATGCACACCTCAACTAAATCATGAGGCTCTAAAGTTAACGACTGAGCAAACATCTAGTGGCCTCACGATTTAGGATGTTTGGCCTTCGTAGGTTTCGAACCTGTGACCTCTTGGATAGTAAGCTCTTTGATTGCTTTCTTCACTCACTAAGTCAAATCCCTTGGGGTTAATTGATTACAACTCTTAATATTTCTTTTTTTTTTTTTTTTTTGATCGGCAAATATTAGTTGTTAGTTGTTAGATTAGTATCTATGAGAGAAAATCTTTCCACCCTTGGCAAAGCACCTAAGTGCTTACACTCATTTAAGTCAACCCCTGTAAGGAGAATTGAACCCATGACCTCCATGGAAATAAGCCCTAAAGAAAGTATGGTGGCCAAGTAGGATAGGCCTAGATGGTTAACTCTTAACATTTCTTTATGGAAAACACGTACAAAAGTGTCATATATCACATTTTTAAAGGAAAATTATAAATTTACTCAACTCAATGAGTTAACCTCAACCAATTAATTTCTCATTCACCCGATAATGGTTTTGAGCAACAAAATATACCACGTGAATCACAACGTGGCATAGAACACGTTACTACTTAGATCCGTCAAATTTGGCACATAGGTCCCACCTAAAAAATAGACCAAAATTAAGAAAAAATCAGATTTTTTCAAAACTTCAAAATCATTTCTAACAAATAAACCTTTGAATTGTTTGGAAATTGTTTGATATCTGCAAAGAATTTAAGAATATACAAAGCAATTAATACAAACATCTCTTTGTTGTGCAATTCATAACAGCGCAAAAGATATACAATTACAATGTTTTTTAATGGGATACAATTACTAGTTTGAGAAAGGAGTTGCTAAATATAAAGGACAAGAATCATTTGTTAGTTACTCCGTAGAGTTTTAGACGGAGATTTGTCAATTATATTAACTTTTTTGCCAGAATATAAATTATAACCTCATTGCTAGAACATAAATTAGTTGCATTTTTGTTTCCTGAACACATTTTTATTTTATATAGGTAACAATTTATTAACAGTGTGTCAGAAATTGCATGAGTAAAAATAAAATTGTATCATACTTGTCAAAAAAACAAAACGGCAAATTACGATGATAGTTTCTGTACTTTGATCGTTGTGTCATTTTGGTCCCTATACTTTTAATTGGTTCAATTTTG